TGCATATCTCGCTGATTAGCCAATGGGAAGGGTAGCAGTCGTACGCCAATTACCATGTTTCTCTTTTATTAGATAGGATGTATATATATTAGAAACCAAGATTTGGGGACTAGGTATGCTCTTTACTACTAGGGTGTTGTTACTTTTAGGCCTTCTTAACTGATAGAGCAAGGAAGTATATATGTGTTTACTAAAGAGTATATATACATATATTTATAGATATTTCTATATGTAACCATCTATATCTATGTTAAGCTAAACATGAGTTCATACTGATGTCTCCAACTCTAATCCATTGCCACATGTATTCTAGCCTTTTCAGCTTGTTTGCCTGTAACTTTCCACTCCAGCAGTGAGTAACTTATCTCTCACCATCCACCATCCTTTTATTTAATTGTTCAATTTCAGTATACACGAATAGTAGTTTCAGAATTGTTAACCTGTTATCTGTGGGAAACAACTTTATCAATTAATACAGTGCAATGTACAGTTCTTTTTGCCTTTACTCTTACAGACTCTGCTATTTCCAAAATTATTTAGGTCAGCATCTTTCCTTCATCCCCTTCACAGAGGTTTCATCCATTTGTAATATAATCTAGCTCATATTTCACATTTCATCCTGGGATCCTTGACATCCTGAAATTTGCATACATTAAAGTTTATTCTTTATGCTGTAAAGTTCTGTGAATTTTGACAAATGCATAGTATCATGTACTCACCATTGCAATATTATGTATAATAGTTTTCCAAGCCTTAAAAAAATTCCCTGTGCTTCATTATTTAACCTCCTCCCCACCCCCAATCCCTGGCAGCCACTGATCTGTTTACTATCCCTATAGTTTTGCCTTTATCATTTGGTTGGAATCATGCAGGATGTAGCCTTTTCAGGCTGGCTTCTTTCATATAGCAGAATACATTTAAGATCCATCCATGTCTGCGTGAATTTTAGTTCATTCCTTTTTATTGTTGAATAGTATTTTATTGTATTGGATATACCAGTGGTCAGCAAACTCGTGAGCCACATGCGGCTCTTTGGCCCCGTGGCACGGGCCACGACGTTTCAATCGCGTTGTATGTGTGTGCCTGCACGAGGTATTTTGTGGAAGAGCCACACTCAAGGGGCCAGTTTGCCGACCACTAGGATATACCATAGTGTGTTTATCCATTCACCTATTGAAGGGCATCTAGGTCATATCCAGTTTCTAGAGATTCTGAATAAAACTGCTACAAACAGAGTTCCTCCACGCCCCCGGGATCGCTATGGCAGGCGTCGCGGGGAGGCTGGCCGGGCGCTGGTATCGGAGTGCCGTCCGGAGGCCACTGAAGGACCCTGCAATATGCCCAAACCAGGAAACTGCCAGGCAGAACTATGTAGATTTGGTATCCAGTTTGACTTCTTCATCTGAGCTCTCCAGCCAAGGAAGCCTGGA